CCAATTCATCACATGTGTGTATTTCCTCCGTTCAAACATTAACTGACCCGCCTACATATGGGTGTTTTCGCGGAAGTGGATGGAAATGAAAAAAAAAAATATGAAAAGAACACACATCTCCAGTTGTGTTCGGGTGGGTTACTGTACCATGATCTCCATTATAAGTACGTCTACCTACGACTCTACTTTCTCCGTTTCAAATTATAAGTCGCTTTGATTTTTTTACATTAATTTTGATATATATATATATATATATATATATATATATATATATATATATATATATATATATATATATATACATTATATTTAGATACATAAAAAAAATTGATGTAACTACTTATAATTAGGAAAGAGTACGAGTAAGCTCGTCTCATGGCTTTCGAGTTTGGATCGACAACCAACTCACCGAAGATCGCGGCGCAACAAGGATGCGTGCGGGTCACCTCGAGAGCACAGCGATATACCCTAGAGTTGCATAATGCATGGTCATGGTGTTAGCTGTTACTCCTGTTACTCACAATCCGTACGCATGCCCGCCCACAGTTCGGATCGTCATGGGCTTCATGGCGCATTTGGCGGCACCGGCCACCGTCTATATAGCATTACAGCTTGCCCGCGTGTCCGTGGCGGATGAGGATGAGCCCCATATACAGCATGTGCCTTGCCACTTGGTACGTGCGGCGAAGAGGCAATCGACTCCCTGGTGGGAGGGTGCCCGGCGGCACGCTTTTCTGTAACTACAGCGCGTCCGGCAGGCGCCGGAGCGTGGAACGCCAACCTGTACTCGATCGATCGAGCAGCAGTCAGTCAGTCAGTCAAAAAAGAGCATCAGCTGTTCCTCGACCGAAACGGGAGATGAGATCAACCCCCTACAGAGTTGGTGTTGCGGTTCAGTCCAGGTCTCCAGGCCTCCAGGGGCAAGACTAGCTCCGATTGCGCCGAACTCATCAGCATGCCAGTACGCAGTAGGGCGTAGGACGGGGACGGGGAGAGCAGGTGGCGTTTGATGCCCAAATCACGCCGTGCGCGTAGTAGTAGTGAATGTACCAAGTACGGAGTAGGAAGAAATCAGATCGCGTCATGTTTTGACAAAACTTTAGTACTAGCGACACATAGAGAAATGCTAGCACCAACCTTAGATGAACACGAACGGATATCAATCTGTGCAGCTGTGCTGTGCAGGCAGTGGCGCACTGGCGCGGCCGCGCTGGGGTCGCCGAACGGATCTCTGGTCACGGATTACGGCCGTAGGAGAACCGCATCAATACAAGATGAGGCGGCGCAAGATGAGAACCATAATCTCTAAGAGATCTCTAATCTTAAACCCACATGCAGGTCAGGGCCTTGTTTAGATTGCAAGTTTTTTCACTATCTCTCCATCACATCAAATCTTTGACACATGCATGGAGTATTAAATATAGATAAAAAAATAACTAATTATATAGTTTGATCGTAAATTACGAAATAAATCTTTTAAGCCTAGTTAGGCTATGATTGAATAATAATTATCAAATACAAACGAAAATACTAAGATGCCAAATATTGATTCATAACCCCAATCTATGACCAGGTGCCCCCGCGATGCGCAATCCGCGCCACTGGCAGGCCGAATCCGGAGGGCGCGAGGGACAAACGGGCGATGGGCGCAGGCAGCTTCACAGCACGGGGTCGCGGGGGCCGCCGCACATGCCGGCACATGCGCACGCACAGAGCTAGCGCCGCACGGCAGCCGGACCGAGCCGAGGGGCAGTACGACCACCGCCTCCTCGGCTTCGGCTCCTCCTCCGTCGCTTGCTCTTGCTTGCTTGACCACGATCACGAGGAACGCAGCAGGGCCAGGCAGGGCTCGGTTCCTTCCTGGCTCCTCTCCCTGCCCTACCACGCTCCGCGCGTACGTGGACGCGGTGGCATGGGGCATGGCTGCCTGCGTTCGCACGCGCGCGCTCGCCCACAACAGAGCTGGAGCCCCAGCACAGCAGCGCCCGCCTCGTTGAGCACAGCGGCGTGCCTGCCAATGCCAGTGGCAGCCGAGCGAGCAAAACCGTGGGTGACCGGGTGCGGTGCGGGAGGACGGGGCGACACGCGGGGTCCCGGGATGTGATCGCGGGGCCCCGGCCACCCCGTGGCGTCTAGCGCCCCGACCTGTCCCGCTCACAGCGCGCCTGCTTGTCCTGAGCCCCCAGCGCGGGCACACGCATATGGCCGGGCGAGTCGGTAGGGCACGCTGGCATTGCCCGGCAGAGCACTAGCCCTGTGGGGCTGTGACACTGAGATGCTCCGACGATTAGCCCCCGGACCGCGGCCACCGCGGCAACTAATGCCCGATTTGGTCGCGCGGCCTCGGGTTTGACCGCGGCAATTTTGCGTCGAGGCCCCTGTGGTTTATTTAATCAGGAGGAGTTGTTTCGCGGATTCGTGCGCGCCTTGGTGTTGGCGCCCTGCTTTAACTTTGTCGTGTCGCGCCATCTGTCCGGCTCTGTTCACTGGGTAACGATTGCCGGCTGTGTGCATGTGCAGGGATTCAGAGGGCTTTACAGGCTTTAGTTTATGAGCCTACGACGCTACAGTGCGAGGGCTCCTCCGCCTTTGCCCTTTGACAGGAAAAGGCTTTGGACCGAGCCGGCCGCGCTTTTCGAAAGCAACTTTTGCGCAAATTTTGGCTAATGAGTACGAGCGATCATCGGGCATCAGTTTGGTCCTAATCAGTATCAAACCGAACCATCATCAGTGACTAGTAGTCCTATTCGAATTTTCCTGTGGGTACCGTTTCAAATTTTGAAAGGGTGAGAAGTAAAAGAGGAGGTCAAAAACTGTACCGCGGCATGAGTGCAAGACACAACGCCATGCCTGTGTGCAGTGGCAGGGCAGGCTGGGGCCTGCGAGAGACCGGTACGTGCCGGGGGCGCAGCGGAGCGGACTGGCACGTACCGCGCGGTTGATGGGCATGATAAAAGCTGGGGGCACACTGCGCAGGCCACATGGGCGTGACTAGGCCTGCCAGGGTGGGGATGGAGGGAGGAGATACCCGACCTTTTCACCGATTCACCCGCCCGGCCCGGAAGTAGCCGAGGAGTATAGGGGAGTAACGAGTACTCGACTCGTGTCGGACCCGGACCACCATGCTTCGTTCTGTTTCGTCTCCCACCGCAAGCGAGAATCTGGATTGGCGCGCGTGAAACATACGGACACGGGAGATACTGGTCAACTCCAATGCGCGTACGTACTACGTATACTGTATAGGACATGGGTGTAAAGATACGGAGTATAATAGCAAAACCACAATTGCAATTTTATTTGCCTCGAATCTTGGGAGCAAAAGTCGTCAGCCCGTCGACGGTCCGGGCGTATGGACAGGGCCAGTTTGGATGCCGAAATTTTTGACGAAATGTTAATATAGCGTTTTCTTGATAATTAGTGTTCAATCATAGTCTAATTAGGTTTAAAAGATTTGTCTTGTGGATTTCGTCTAAACTGTGTAATTAGTTTTATTTTTAATTTATATTTAATACTTCATGCATGCGTCTAAAGATTCGATGTGACGAAGAATCTTAAAAAATTTAGCATTTTGGGAGGAAACTGAACAGGCCACGAGCAACATGTTGGCATCATCCGAAAACGCATAGACAGCGCTTAGCTAAATCAGGCAAACGCATACTGGATTGGTTCACAAAAGCATTATTAATTCCGCGGCATGCACTGATGTGAACGTTCATGCTGATGTGGCTGCATCAGGCTTTGCATAATCAGGTGAACAAAGATACTTTTGGACAAACAGGACTGTCCTCGATACAGTGTTCAAGGGTCACGGATCAGCGACTAAGCTTAACAAAACAAAGCAGACCTGAATTATGTTGGTAGGAATGTAGTTGGATCACAAATCATAAAAAGATCCTAGTGACAATAAGAGCTAGGAATCGTAAATTCACTCACTGATAAAGCACCACCAATCATTAGTCAAGATCCTGACAGCCATCTCGCAACAACAGCAACACCTGATCCCAATCCCTTTCAAAGTTTCGAAAGATGAGAGATAAATGGAGGGGCAAAGCACTTGCACAAGCTTTCTTTCTCACTTTACTTCCATTCTTTCAATCTTTCTTTAGAGGTGTCAACTACACTAGATCCACTCAACCACATGGGAACAAAGGCAGAACAATATGATCATCTAGTAGTATTTTGCAGCGGCCTGCAACTGCTGATCAGCGGACATACTAGGGGACACATACATACCGAGACAGCGACTGAAGGTGTCAAAGGCATACAAGATCTCAAGCACACACACGAACACACATCTCTATCCATAGGAATGGCTTGGGATCTTGCACTAGTAGCAGTTAAAATAGCTTCTCCAGCCACTGGGCCGCCCTAGTATACAAATATCTCCATCTCGCAGCAGGCTGTAGCTGTACTGGTATTACATGTGACCTGTGGCATTGGCTGGTACCAGAATTGTGGATTAACCTCACATTAGTAAACCTAGTGGAGGTGCCTGTAGTTGTATAGAGTACATCAAGGACCTTGTCACAGTAACATCTTTGTGCTGATGTTGCCTTCTACTGGTAAATACTAAGTACAGATACTATTTATATATATCTAAAAACTAGGGGTAACACTAGAGGGATTATTTGTATATATAATATATATACTTATATATGGCGCTAGTGCATATGCCGCTGTTTTCTTAATCAAGGCTAATGGCATCTTCTTCTCTTGTGGTTTAGTAGAACTAGGGACTAAAAGAACAAAAGAAAGGGAGCTAACACTATGCTGACACTTGAATCCTTTTTTCCTATATATTCCACCATCGCTTTTCTTGACTTCTAGTATTCCTGTCACAACCACAAGCGGCAAAAGAGAGAAAAAAAAAAAAAGAGAGAAAGGGCAGAATAATTAGTAAAGCTAAAAGGTTGTTATTTGAGAAGCGTAGTCGGAATAAAGAGGGCCGTTAGTGCTTACTATGATTAGGCTGGGGTATCACTCGCTTCCAATGGTGAACTTTACATCCCCATGGCACCGTGATCGGAGGACAGCCTGCTCATTGCATTCAGAGAATCATTTCATTCGTGGATGACAGAATGTTCATGGACATAATCGGCGCCACGGAAAGTACAGGCGAACACACCTGTGCATGGGGAAGAAGTAGGAGCTGGGCGAAGGAATTTCCAAAGCAGGGGGGCGGAGATGGTTACTACCACCGTCGATCTTGCTCCCAACACCGACATCCACACCAACACGGGATGAGGTGTTCTCAGTTTCCGTGGCGGTGAAACTGTCATGCACAAGCGCAGCAGACTTGGTAGGGGACGCAAATGGGCTGTCCGGCAAATTGTGCTCTCCACTGTTCATGGAACAAGCAAAGATCAAGCTTTGACACACTGAAATGTTGTTGAACTTTTCTATCGGATCATGATTCATGAAAGCTAAGTGTGGGGATCATAACTAACAAGCAAGCAGAATGATGATGATGGGTTGTTTAGTGTAGTTTAATCCACCTTTGGTCGCTATCAGCGGCGTCTGGGCTCGCCTCGCAAGCAGATTCCTCCTTATCACCAGCGTTGACCTTCCCCTCCATAGCAAATCCACTACTCAGCTTGAGCTGCTCCCCTGTCAACGGCCAAGGAATCACAATGATCAGTAACATTTGAAAACAATTTGGTTTACTGAAGCCACCAACGTGCTCCACCGTGATGCCTACCGGACTCTGGTGGCGACTCGACTGCGGTGGTGCTCACAGGTTGGCTGGACGCGAAGGCATTGGAAATTGGTGTAGGCAGTGGCTGTGTAGCAGCTGCGCGAGCCTTAAGGTCGAGCAGCTGAAGACCCATGAGGCGGCGGTTCTGGAGCTCAATGGCCTGCTGCAGTTCGGCGGCCTGCTGCTGTTCCTCCAGCTTTCGGCGCAACAGCAGCTCGTTGGCGCTGTTCGAGTGCTGCAGCATCCTCGCACCTGACAATCACCGCAACAAAATCAAAATCGCGCAACGACTGGCCCAAGTTCGAGAACACAACAAACCAAAGATCAAGAGAACATCGTTGGGGTCTTTTTTACCGAGTTGGTGCAGATCAAAGGGGTCCCGGGCGTCCAGCCCGCCAGTGGGCGTCGTGCAGCCGGAGAAGTCCCCTTGCTGCTGCTTCCTGCGAAGCGAGAACAGCAATTCAGTCAACCCGAGCAACTGCATGCATGCACGGCCGCCATTGCCGTTGCTGGAAGCAAAGGATGAATTCGCAATGCATGCCTGTACTTGTCGGGGACCTTGCCCTTCTCCTTATAGGGCTTGACGAGCACGCGTGCGTCGCAAATGAAGTGCGGGTTGCCCTTGGCCAGGATGAGCTTCACCGTCTCTGGGTACACGAAGGTGACGAACCCGAACATGCGCTTCTGCTGGTAGGGAATGCGCACGTCGTGAACTGGACCATAGATGCTGCACCGCATTGCCAAGAAGCGCAAGGGTCGGTCAACCAAACGGTGTTCTATGCCGAAGCAAAGATTGCAGCATCACATTAGCATGTGTGCGTGCATGCATACCTGAAATAGTTCGAGACGTCCTCCTCGCGGAATGTGCTGTCGGCCGGGAAGGTCAGATAAATCTGGCGCGAGCCGGGGTTCATCATGTTCGCGAAGTCGGCGCGGTCCAGGCGCTGCCGGCCCATGAACCTGTGCGCCTCGTCGCCGCCGCCCAGCATCAGAGACGCGGCCGCCGCGGCTCTGCACTCGCACAGGCGAAAAAGGCTGGAGCTTTGGTGCGAATGATTTGAGTTTGGGGGGTCAGAACTTGTAAAAGGCGTCTGCTCAGCTCTACCTGTCGTGCTGCTGTTGCTGTTGCTGCAGCAGGAAGCTGAGGCACTTGCTAGCGGCGGAGGGCGAGCCTGGGAGGGAGCCGGTGGGGGAGTAGGGGAAGGCGGCGGGGCCGAGGCGCTGGCCCTTGGAGCGGATGAGGAAGTCCTGGCACTGCTGCTGCTGATCGGCGGCTGCCTCCATCTTGGCGCCAGCGAGCGCAGCAGCGTCGTCGGGGAGACCGCCGTGGACGAACCTGCAGCTGCCGCCGTTCTTGCAGAACCCGCGAGCGTAGTAGAGGCAGGGCTTCCACCCGAAACCATCGCCGCCGCCGCTGCCAAGGCAGAGCTCGTTGACTGACGAGCTCCGGCGGTGCGCAGGGCCGCCGTTGGGCCACCCGAGGCCGAACGCGAACATCCCACCGGCATCACCCGGGCCGGGGCTCCGGCACTCCCCGCCGTCAAACCCCGGGAGCTGGTGGGCCGGGTTCGCGCCGCCCTCGTTGAGGAACGCAAGCTGCTCCTGCAGCTGCAAGTCGTCCAGGAGCGCGTCCCCGGCCTGATGAGGAAAGAAGGGCGCCGCGCCGCCGTTCACGGGACTGGGCAGCTCCTCCCCACCCCCCGCTGCCTCCTCCGCGGTGCCATTACTCGTGTTGTTGCTCCTGGAGAACACCGGCGCGTGCCCCCATGACGACGGCGAGGACACAGAGAGCGGCGACGGCGCGCCGGCGCGCCCGGAGTTCTGGTGTGGGAGCTGCAGGAACGGCGCGTGCCCGGCGGCCGCGACGGAGGTCGGCGAGGCCGAGAGGAGCAGGCCGAGGTCCTTGCGCGCCTTGGCCATGACAGCGTGGAGCAGAGACTCGGGGCCGAAGGCGAGGCGGATCATCTCCTTCTCGCCGTGGTCCTGGATGAGGAGGAGGCCCATGATCTTGGCGGCGTGGTCCGGGTCTAGCGCTTGGATCCGGGAGAACACCACCTTGGTGGCCTCGTAGGCGTCCATGGCCACGCCAAGAGAAGAGGGCCAGACGAGACGAACCCTGGCTCCCTCGCACCGCAGCAGCCAGCAGCTCACGGGCTTCTCGCTTCTCCCTCGCACCCCTTTCCTAGTGCAGCTCGGTCTTACCGCCTTCACGGCCTTTTGTACACACGCTGCTGCAGCGCGATCAGATCGATGGATATGTCAGTGTAGGGTAGCGCTGGGTAATGGCTAGTGCTCTGGCTTGCTCGCAAGCTTCCGCTTCCCCAAGCTCCCGCTGAGCCACTGCACCACTGAGCAGCTCCATTTCCCCAAGGTTTGGTGCTTAGCCGCGGCCAATCAAAGATCAAACCCACTCGATTACTGCCGCTCGCATAAGGGCAGTCTCACTGAAAGAAAGTAGTAGTTTCTATAATATAGGATACCGCATTAAAAAAAGTATTGCTTAGTTTCCATAATATAAGTAATAATTATTTTCTTTTTCTCTTCCAACTCTATCTTCTTCCACAAAAAATGAGCTTCCTACAAAGCTGATGGTTTCTCTTTTTAACATTATAGATTTCTTCATAAGGAAACCATTTCTATGATTTTTGCTCTCTTTCTTTATTAATTACATTGCCATGTCAACGTTTTACCTACATGACAAATTATTTAATAAAAATAGAAATCATCATTAATACATCATTGGGACTGCCCTAACTCTCTTTCTCTCTCCCTCTCTCGCGCGCTTTGAGGGTTAGTTTCTGGGCTTTGGGACTGCGCTCGGGTTAGCGAGCGAGCGTGGAGTGGGGGCTTGAAGACTTGCACACGAAAGCAGTGTGCAGACTTTTGAGGGATCAATGGCCGTGTGCACATACCAGTTTGGTTTCTTATTTTCACTGTTGTCCGGGAGGACCCAGAAAAAAACAATAGCGCCTTGTGTAGATGTCATCTAAATTCCAAGTTTTTTCACTTTCTCTCCATTACATTAATTTTTAATCGTTTGCAGGGAGTATTAAATGTAGGTAAAAAAATAATTAATTACACAGTTTAGTTGGAAATCACGAGATAAATCTTTTGAGCCTAGTTGGTCCACGATTAGATAATATTTACCAAATAAGACGAAAGTGGTACTATTCATCAGGTTCACTTTTTTTTTTAAGTGAACGAGGCCTAGGTGTTCAGCTCAAAGCTGCGTGACCAGTGCATGGATCCTGATCTCCCCAATTCGCCATTTTCAAAACCTGATTATGGGCATGGATTCCATACTGAATGGAGCTTTGTCCGTATCTTCCGTTCTCCCTCCAGCGCGGTGCCGTTGGACTACAGCTACCCAAAATATAAAAATATAAGGCCCACACATAAACGGTTTAATATTTATTTTCGGTCTTCTATGATAGATCCAAAAGATAATTCTTTCTACAAATAGATCTTCAGGAGAAAGAATACTCAGATTTGGGATACGCCTCCGACACCTAAAACTCTACTCTGTTCTCGCTTTGGCTCTCCCTATTATTGTTTCGGCTCGCTCTTTGAGGGTTTTTAGTTTCAAGTTTGAGCGAGGCCTATATGGCATTTTAAATTTGGGGGACGAGGAGCCCACACACACATTTACATTAGTTTTGGCAGAGAACGGATGCTGCTTTTCTCCGCGTCCTTTTGAGACTCGGGGGCGATATTTGCATCTACAGAAATCCAGTTCCTCTTTTGTCAGCAAAATGACCTAGGAATTTCGAAACCGGCAAATTGGCAGAAAGGCAGGGCGAAGCTTGCCCAGCCATGTCGATCAGGGAAGTAATGGATCCAGTCGCATTTCCGAAGAGAAGATATATCGACGGCGATGGGATAAACTAAAGTGGTAATCTCAATGCAGCACGGTACCACTTTCCTTATCATATTCAAATCATGGATGTTGCCTGGTAACCAATTGTAAGCTGACGGGGCATGTTGCGGTGCGGCAGCATGAACAACAGCGAGATTTTTATGCCCGGATACAGAAATGCTTCACCTGAAGTTGTTTTCCAGAAATGCTTCATCATGTTGCGGTGCGGGCACCTGAAGTTGTTTTCCTGAGCATGACTTCTGGGTATTGATTGTACACCGCTATGTTTCATGCACACCGCTCTTTCCAAACGATTTGCGAACACACATCAGACTCCACTCCTAATGTCACTTTGGCATTAGTTAGTTGCCCCTTCCTTGGGAATAAATTCTATTATTGAATTGTTGTGTTTAAGTAACAAAAAATGGGGTAAGTTTAACGGGGCCAAACAGATATGATTTTTCTAAGATATATTAATCATATCAAATCATATTTTTTACGGAATTAAATAAAGATAATTTTTATATGAAAATTATAGATCTCGACGAAATCTACAACTTTCTAGAATTGAGTTTTTTCATTTGAAGACGTTAAGATGCTCAAAAAAAATAATGACATATTTAGACATAAGGGTATTTTCGACTTTTCACACCTGCAGTTTGACGGCGTTAGAGCCCAAACTGACGGCAGTGGCATAGAGGACACAAAAAAGTTAGAACAGTGACGCTGAAGATTGCTGAGCTTTTCCAAAAATACACAGGGCATTACGATATTTTTTAATGACACATAAGAAATTCCCCCTATACAAACCGCCCTATGCTGGTTTTGACGGTCCCAACATAAAATTATTTTTTTTCTCCGGAAATGGATCTGATCTTATAGGAATTTTATAATTGTACGTGGAATAAGTTTTCTACGATGATAAGACCACCACTCATTATTTATATGAGAATATCATAACTGATTAAAAGATCTAGCTATCCAATCATCAAAATATATCTATTACTTTTTATCTTCTAACTCAAGTTCTTCCAACCCTCTATTGTCCAGCGCATTTCTCTATAGGATTTATTGGTGTCCTAGGTGGCTAGGTGGCCTTACCAATTCTAGGACACCATCGTTGTGTCTTTCCCCCATGAATCTTCCCGAGAGACTAAAAGGTCTTAAAATAGGTAGAGGGGGTGGTAAATAGCATATTTAAAAATCTACAAATCAATCAGAGCAATTTGATTAGTATGACAAATAGCGAAAATCAAACTTGCTCTAGCTCTACAAGGGTTGCAAGCCACTTATCAACAATTCTAGTTACTATGATCACTAGACACACAATTTATTAAGTCACTACTCACTAAGAGCTCTCACACTTGGTACACTAAAGAGCTCCACTAGATGAACTTAAGCTACAAAATAAGCTCTCAATTCTAGCTACACTTAAGAGCTTACTACAACTAGTTTGCGGGTATATAAATGAGTAAGTAAGATGATTATACCGTCGCGTAGAGGAGTGAACCAATCACAAGATGAATACCAACTCAATCACCGGGAGAATATCAAAAGGCAAGAGACAACCAATTTTCTCCCGAGGTTCACGTGCTTGTCAACACGCTACGTCCCCGTTGTGTTGACCAACACTTGGTGGTTTGGCGGCTAAGAGGTGTTGCACGAACCTCGTCCATATAATTGGACACCGCAAGAACATACCCACAAGTGAGGTAACTCAATGACACGAGCAATCCACTAAGGTTACCTTTCGGCGCTCCGCTGGAGAAGGCACAAGTCCCCTCACAATCACTGGGAGATGGCCACGAACAATCACCAACTCATACCAATCCTTTTCGTCTGCACCAAGCTATCTAGGTGGTGGCAACCACCAAGAGCAACAAGCGAATCCAGCAGCGAAACACAAACACCAAGTGCCTCTAAATGCAATCACTCAAGCAATGCACTTGGATTCTCTCCTAATCTCACAAAGATGATGAATCAATGATAGAGATGAGTAGAAGGGCTTTGGCTAAGCTCTTAAGGTTGCTATGTCAATACAAATGACCAAGAGAGTGAGCTAGAGCCCCCACAAATAGAGTCGTTGGCTCTCTGTTCACTGAAAAAATGGGGTGACCGGACGTGCCGGTCGGATTTATCGGACGCTGGACCCCAGCGTCCGGTCCTTAGATTTTCGCCACGTGTCCCCGATTTCAAATGCTGATCGTCCGATCTCATCGGTCATCAGTGCACTTAAGTTGTGACCGGACGCGCTTCTCAAAGTGACCGGACGCACCATCGCTGGCGTCTGGTCGTTTCTAGTAAGGTTCCATTCGCAACCGGACACGTCCGGTCACGCCCGACCAGACTTGCCCAGCGTCAGATCACTCACACTCTTCTCTGTGCGTCACCACATTAGCATGACCGGATGCTGAACAGTGTTTAGATAGGGTTCGGTCTCCTGCGTCCAGTCAAGAGACCGAGGGCGGCCTTCACTGTGCGCCACTGACCTGACGCTGGGTCAGAGTCCAGTCACTGCGTGACCAGCGTCCGGTCATTGTATCTCAGTGACTATCACTTCCTTTATTTCACCAACTTCTCCATCCTTGGTTAAATGTGCCAACCACCAAATGTGTCATCTTGTGCACATGTGTTAGCATATTTTCACAAACATTTTTCAAGGATGTTAGCTTCCCACTAGATCCTAAATGCATATGCAATGAGTTATAGCATCAAGTGGCAGTTTGATAACCGTATTTCAATACGAGTTTCACTCTTTTTAATAGTACGGCTATCGATCCTAAATGTGATCACACTCTCTAAGTGTCTTGATCACTAAAACAAAAAACTCCTATCAATTTCACCTTTGCCTTGAGCTTTTTGTTTTCTTTCTTCTTTTTCATGTCTAAGTATTTGATCATCACCATGCCATCACCATTATCATATCATGATCTTCATTTGCTTCACCGCTTAGAGTAGTGCTACCTATCTCATAATTACTTTGATAAACTAGGTTAGCACTTAGGGTTTTATTAATTCACCAAAACCAAACTAGAGCTTTTAATCTCCCCCTTTTTGGTAATTGATGACAACCCTTACACAAGGATATGAATTGAAATTTAATTGAATCCATGTTGCTTGTCCAAGCATATTTATCATATGTAAAAGGATATGGACAAGTTTCATGAATTCTATATGGTAGCAATTGCTCCCCCTATATATGTGCTAAGAGTTTGGATTGTAG